TGCAAGGCAGCTTTCGCTGAGTATAAAAGCGCGATAACTCCCAGTCAACGGGCACTCAACGCGAAAAAGCTCCGATCAGTTTTGAAGACCTCGAAAAAGGAGTTCAAAACCCAACAGGTTGAATCAATTACTACGCCGACTGATGTGTTCAAGCTAATGAGAATGGATAACCCTAGACAGGCTAGTATCCCTCCGCCACTGAACCATAATGGGACGTTGATAACAGATCCATTAAAACGGGCCACGATCCTTCGCGACTCCCTCCTGGCACGATTTCAAGCATCAGATGACTTGTCACCATGTACAGTCGCGAGCAGCAGTCGGATACCATGGGAAGAGGACGTAATAGATGAAGAGGTCCGAGCCTGTACCATTGGCTGCGGAAATACGGCCCCAGGAGCAGACGGAGTCTCCGTAAACCTGCTGGAGGCGTGTTGGAATACAATCGGGCCTTGGATTTCCCAACTGTTCCGAGCTTGCATTCTGCTTGGCACCCATCCAAAGTGTTTAAAATTAGCCGAGGTGGTCCTCCTTCAAAAGAACGATAGAGACCCAACGACAATCAAGGGTTGAAGACCAATCGCTCTTCTCTCATGCTTGGGAAAAGGGTTAGAAAGGCTCTTAGCTAAGCGGATGGCACACCTTGCAGTAATCCATGATGTAGTCGGCCAGCAACAGTTTGGTGCACTGCCGAAGCGCTCAGCAACGGATCTGGTCTCATGTGTGGTCCACGACATCGAAGAGGGAAATTCACAAGGATGGGCAGCTACTTTTGTAACGTTGGACGTTCAAGGAGCATTCGACGCGGTACTCCATAATCGATTAGTAAGGAGGATGCAGGAGCAGGGATGGCCGGAGTCTATTCTCAAATGGACAAGTTCCTTCCTCGCCAATTGGATGGTTCAAGTGCGATACTCTGGGGGAGTCACTGCCAGGAGAGAGCTAGTGTGCGGAGTTCCACAGGGCTCACCGATCTCGCCACTTCTCTTCCTTCTATACATGGCAGAGCCGATGCGAAGTGGAACCCCGGGTCTGAGGTTTAGCTACGCTGACAATATTGGTATCCTTGGATTTGGCCGGACGATTGCAGAGTCTGCAGCCGCAGCACAGGACGAGGTCAATAACCTACTAGACTGGGCTCGAAATAATGCCGTCGCTTTCGATACAGACAAGTCCGAAGTCGTACAATTCCCCGGACGATACCGCGAAACATCGGTTGGAATCTATGTCAACGGAACTCTCATAGAGCCGTCGCAAAATGTCCGCTGGCTTGGTGTGTACCTCGATCCTCGACTTAACTTCAAACATCACGTCACAACCTGGTGTGGCAAAGTGTTAAAAATTGCACAGCACATGCGTCGCTTCAATACAGCCTACCGAGGAGCCGCTCCTGGGGCGTTGGTTAAAGCGATCGACGCATGTATTGTCCCAATCGCAACGTACGGAGCTGACGTCTGGTGGCCTGGCCTTAGACGCCCAACAATACGAGGGATGGTAACACCCCCCACTGCTGGCCTATGTAGTAAGATTGATAAGGCTGTCTTAATGGGTCTTAGATCAGCACTACCGGTAATGAGAACAACACCCAACGCCGTACTACATAGCGAAGGAGGAATACCAACCGGGAAAATAATTCTCGAAGGAAACCGACTTCGCCTCTCTGCCAGAATGCAAACACTTGACGATCGCCATCAGCTCAGGATCCGTGCTGCAGTTTGCCCAAATGTCGGTACGCGGAAATATAAAAAGCACAATCGAAAATCTGCGCGTCCTGAAATTCAAATGTCACGGGCTCAGCGTGCTTATAGACAGCTACCAGAGGCAGAGGCCGCGGAACCTCTTGCCCCACCATTTTATCAATCGCGGCCGGGCTCGAAGGTTGGTTCGAGAAAAGACCAAGTAGAAGCCTGTAAACTTTGGATCAGTAATGTGCCAAAGTCAGAAATCTGTGCTTACTCGGACGGAGCATCGGAGGGAAAGGGACGCTCAGCTTGGGGGTTTGTCCTAAAGCTGGATGGGAAAACCTTTCAAAAAGGAAGTGGCATAAAGCACGGTGGAGAGGCTTTAGATGCAGAGATAATGTGGGCACAGGAAGCTCTTAAAGCAGCGTTGGGTCACCTAAGAGGGAAGGAATACCTGGCGAAGGGTACGACGCAGTGTATTAATGTGTTGTTGGATAGTCGACATGCAATAAATGCACTGAGCACGGGCAGATCCTCGACCAGCCACGAGGAAGTACGAAAGTTTCGCGAATTGTCTGGGCTAGCTCAGGTAAGAATAACGTGGGTAGCAGGACACTCAGGAATACATGGAAATGAGGAAGCAGATGCAGCGGCCAAATCCGCCCTACGAACGCTTCCCAGCGTGGAAACTGAGCCAGCAACCACCACAACAGCATTTTTACACCAAAAATTGCATCGACAGCGACAGACTTTGCTCGACAGCTGGTGGAATGAAACTTGCCCGTCACGGTATTGTGAGCTAGATCTGCTCATGCGCCGTCGTAAACCACCAGAACTGGGGCTCTCCAGGCTACAGTTACGACATCTCATTGCAGCCCGTACGGGCCACGGCAATTTCGCGGCGTACCATTGTCGCCTCAACAATCTACATGCTATTACAGAGTGCACCTGTGGGGAGGAAACTACCCTTACCCACTTCATACATTGTCCACTCATCGCAAATATCACGCATCAAATCAGAGGGTCATTGTCACACAATGCCTTCTTACACAAGCTACTCGGGCCTAAGTGCTTCGAGAGCTTCAAACAGTTTGCGCAGGATACCAATTGTTTTGGGTATTCTCCTGTGCACCCATCTCCTACTCTCAATGGAGATCGAATATAACTTGTCAGGAAACTAAACCTGACAAAATGGGAATCGAGGCGAGGAGTATTGCTTCCCATTCTAAATTATTTGCAACTTATTTTTTCTTTTGTTAATTTTGGGAAAAGGAGTTCGCATCGGCGCATATTTTTAACTTACTGCTGGTTTTGTGGTGGTTCATGCGGTGGAATCAAGCTGGGTATGTCTTAGATGTAGTTCTGGCTGTGAACATCGGTCCTGTACTCATAGTGGATTTGGAGCTTTAGCTTAGGACTTGAATAAAATAACAACAACAACACACACACATGCAAGTACAAGTGTAAGCAACACAGAGCCTAAGCCACACTATAAACAAGTGTGGCGCCATCTAGGCATAGAAACCCCCCAATAACCTCCGTGCGCCCACGCCATGCAGCCGCTTATATGTCCAATTGGTAGCCTGAAGCGCTACCATATTGCCTATTCCAACCTCTTAAATACACACGAGATGGTGTCGGAAACCTAGACGAAATGGAGAGCCCGTACGTCCACAACACTCCGTGTCTCCATTTCTAACAACAATAATGGTGTACCGCCCATTACCCATACTACCTTCTTTTCCTTGTTTAAAGGCAGGTCAAGTATATTTGGATGCAAGGAGTAACTATTTTATCACAGAATTTGACGAAACTTTTTTTCGTTAAGCTCTATCCTGGCTATCCAAAATTAGCCTAAACAAGTTTCTTCAATGAGTGAGATAATGTTAGAGTTAGACTCTACTCCCATGGTGTCTAAGCTGTGTTTATTAGACTGCAGGTTTCCGCCGCTGATCATACATCTACGGGCAAATTACAATTTAGGATATGTGCACTAAAATGAAGGCTGGAAATCTTAATACAAAACTGACGGACATGGTAGAACATAGTTTCGGACTTGCGCATAATATCGGAGGCAGGTCACAACTCTGTATCGAACATATATCTCAGGGGGTAGAGGTGCTCTATCTTTGCCTTTGGGAATATCTACAAAAGAAGGCATTTACATGTACATATTAGAGTGGACTTCACGGGAGAGTATTTCCATAATAAATATATTTAATAAAGATACTTGATAAAGACCTTTACATTATTTACATCCAACTGCAATCACAGCCAAATCATAATTGACAAACAGACCATATTCATTATATGTCTGAATATCTAGATAACTAAAGCCAAATAGATAATCAAAAGGTTTTCAGTGCTGTTGCAGGTCTGATTCCTTGAGTTCGATTTAGTTTGACTTAAGAGTTTATGGAATGAATTTTCCAGTTTGTCCATGCCCTACAAATTGAGTCTCTAATCAATGTGGTAGCCTACAGTATGATAGTGTTGCGCTACGGTTATTTTAGGTTTACCTGAATTTACTCATAACATGACTCGGGTCGGAGAATTTAATGCTGATACGTGATGCGTATCAAGGAAAATATCTTTTTGTTCGGATTTTACATAACTCATACTTTGAATTGGGTTTAAATTTATGTTTCCGATGATATTCTCATCTTATCTGTGCAGAGCACGGTTTGGTATGTTTCGGTGGTAGCATTAATGCCAGCGAGATATCTAGTAGGGTTTCATATGAGGAAAACTATGTATTTTAGTTACTCGATAGCCAGAGAATAGAGAGACAACCCTTCGATGATTTGTTACCTTCTACTCCCATTTCCAAAATAGTCCAACAGATAGTGGCTTGTGAAGATGGTTGAAGGAGTTAATTTTCAATTACTTGTTTACAAATGATTTTATTTGAAACATATAAGTGGTTAATCCAAAATCTTTCGGGTTAAATCAATTCTAGTACGGCAAGCATAGCTAAGTTAAAAGAAAATATAGCTTCTTATCTAATTCTCTGCCAATGCACATTGCAGTTCCAAGAAAATGTCAACCAGGGGACAACAAGAGAGTAATTCTTTCATGTTAGAATATATTTAATAATTTCTATTTTAATTAAACAAATGATCGATTCAAGAATCCATCCGAGTACAAGATTGTCAACTTTACGACAGTCTGGGGGGTCCTGACATCCATATCGGTCAAGAAAGTCCTGTAACACACTTATGATGTTCCTCTCTTCAACAATTTATTCGAGATTTTCCCATCTAAATAGTGGACAGTGTGTCAGCTTGACTCTAACTCAAGGGAACAGTAATTGTGTAGTTATGGATGGATCATACCTCTTAGATCTTCAATGGTATTGTTGAATGCCTTAATAATCTTATCATATTCCGGTTCATGCTCATCAGGGGTACCGCACTCTTTGCCATTTTCCCCAAAAATTATTTCTCGGAGTTCTGTTGGAATTTACCACATTTCTTACGATAATTGGCATTCCTTGCAAATATGAACAACTTTCCTGCATGCTGCACAATACATCCTGTATTCTACATTTTAGTTTCTTTTTGCTGTTGAGATATTCTCTCATACATTTGCATGTGCGGGGTAATATGATACTATATGCAAATGCAGCGAGAGATATGGTCACGTTTACTTTACGACAAATAGGATGGCGTTAATGGTGAAGGTTCAGTACTGTTTTATTCCCCGCACAATGGTTTCGTGGTCAGATGTGCTGAAGACTTTTCACTGTAGTAATTGTTGTTTGCATACCCACTTTAACTCTAGGATATGCGCACATAAATTCGCGTTTTACATGTAACTTAGAACTTTAATGGAAACAATATTCTTTGAGCTATACTTTCTGCTCCTCTTACTATGAAATAGCAACAAGTTCAGATGCTAAAGCCTTCAAGCCTAAGAAGTTGGTGGATAATTTATCGAGAATTCTTAGTTGAAAGTCCCACATACTGTATTTCTTTGCCCAATAATTACTCCCGATGTTGTCAGTGTGCCACATCTGCAGTTCGATCTGTTGTGATAAAATAGTTCTGCATCAGTATTGATGCAGGATCTCTGTCTGTGCACTACTACATGTAACTCTTAATTCACTTGTAACTAGATTCCATGTTTAATGTAGTCACGTCTGTTTCTTGTCTTAGTCGTGGGGGTTCACTAAAACACAAGGCTAAAACATCATTTGGATAATGTTGTCAAGTTGAGACATTGGCACGTACCTCATCAATCCCCCAACTTTCGTCATACCAAGTTTGATTCCTGTTTATAGATGTAGTCTCTCCTAACTCCAGAGATCTTCAGTTCATTGTATTAACTGAATATCTCTGAAGGCTATATTTATCGCTCCTCTCGTCAACTCCACAGCTTTACATCTAAAGCCCCGTTCACCTGCTCCTGTGCTCGAATACCACTCTTCCTTCCTCTCCAACAGCCCGAAATCCCTCTCGATCTTTAACCTCACAACACGATCACCTCCTCCGACTTCTTTTCGCGTTTATATGTTATGCATCCTACAATTAACACATAAAAGAACGAATCCAGATCATGATGGAACGTACAAATTATACTTTCCCTGCGATTTGAAGCATGATGTAGCCTCTCAAGCGCCATGAATTTCATGGTGCCAGTCAAGAAAGAGTTATTATCTTTGCCTGGTGGTGGTTCAATAATTTCAGCGTGATCCAAATCGATCAACATCCCTTGAGTTTTACCACCTACAGTTGCTAGAATGATGTTACCGTCAGAGATGTCACCATGAAGTATTTTCTTTTCGAGATACAGGCGGCGGTGTGCCACCATTGCGTCTTGCATGCCAACAAGAAACTTCATAATCGTTTTACTGGAACAAAGACTACGGCCACAAGGTGTGATAACTATTCTGCGAAGTTCTCGATCTCTCAACTGGGGAGTCGGAGGTACCTCTACACCTTCAGCCATGCAGATATAAGGATTGCATTCCATCATCATCAAATATTTCGCATTGCTGAAGTTGAGGTCCTTCAGATGATCACCTATGGTACAGATTACGTCTGCCATGACATATTTGACCACGCCATCTATTCCACTGGCATGTTGCAAAAAGTCGATTTCTGATTTACCTGGAATCCTGAACCACAAGTATTTTACAACTTTACTTTTATCCAAGGTTTCAAAACAGGTAGTTCCACGAGTAACTATGGTACCTGTCATGAAAAAAGGATTAGGGTTGATGTCCAATTCCCTTGTCTCCTTAAGTTTCTCATCATGAATGGATACAGAAGAACGTCCATTGAATTTTTGAATAGATGAATCAATACCTAGTTCTTCATCACTCATCAAAAGGTATGAACAGATTGCTCGCACAAATTTTTCCTTATCTCCTTTGAGAGTGAATAAGCCTGAGCTATATGCGCCCGAGCAATTAAACACCCACAGTTCAAAGTTTGATTCAAACGCAGTAAATCCATGTACAAAATGACGAAGTGGCTGTGTGTAAAACACCTGGAAAGCAAGTCATGACAGCTGATAAAACTTTTCGTTCCTTTGGTCTGCACAAGACTTTTTCGTAAACTCACCCAGAACTCTCACATCACTCCATTGATGCTCATGTCTATGAGCATTAGAAGAACTGATTCTCTTTGTGAGAAAGTCAACCTGGTAACCGTGGTCAGTACCCATCATCCAGCATTTGTCTGACGAGCGAAAATAATTGCAGCGCAACTGGGAGCTTTCTGCTTCTTTGATGATTGTTGGAAACTTTTCTGATGATATGTTGAGTTGATCTGTGAGCTGATTCAAAAAATTCTTACAAAAAAATCTAGCCAATCCCACATTTCATCTTCAGTCATGTCTTCAGTCAGAATCTTGTTAGTATAGACTATTTTCTGGATTACCACAATATGTGTGTCCTAACTCAACTATTTATACATTTATTAGGCTATTTAGAATATTCCTTCCTGTCTGATACTAGCTTGTGTTATGTTCTCCTGATACTAGTTCACTGTCTCACTCCCAGTTGCTAGAATCTTCTAGTCATGTTCAGAATAAACTAGAGTGAAGTTTTGCCTTTCACAGAATTGCTGAGGCACGTGATTAACATCACGTGATACAGGACAATTATCAGCTCACTAGCTGTTACATCTGATGTACATATATACCCAGCATGAAGGAGTATTCTTCTTCACACGTCTTCTGTTTATACTCATTATTAATTTAGGAGGACTTCTGTCGCAGTATGACTGTATAGAAGACGATGGAATTAGCACAGTGGATTGAGGTCAGATAGAATCAGATATTCGAGTTAACTGAAAATATACTAAGATCGAGACAGTCAGACTCCTAAGTACAAATTTTCCTCCACGCAACTGATATGCATGAATAGCGTAATTGACGCGACTCATGTGTTTGACTCTGCCTGACTCGGATTGCCCCTGTAGCAGCTAGACAGACTTTGTCATTTAACACTCCCCCTCAAAGGTTGTCCTGACTCTAGTCTCCTATCAATTGTTGTTTAGTAGATACTATCACGGGGACTTGTGTACAGTTAATACCAAGCTGTTCAATGAATTTCTGGAACTTCAATCTTGCCAACGGTTTGGTCATGCCGTCTGCTACCATATCATCAGTAGGAATGTAATCAACTGCCAACCTCCCCTTTCCGGCGAGATCACAAATAAAGTGATAGCAAATATCAATTTGTTTTGACCTTTCGTTCAGATATGCGTTTTCAATTAGCGCAATTGATCCTTGGTTGTCTCCGAGCATTTGGACTAGTGCAGGGTTTTTCCCGATATACTTTGGTAGTCCGAGGTCTCGAAATATTTGAGCAATCCATTGTCCATGTTTTGCACACATTGATAGAGCAATATACTCAGCTTGATGTTGATACCAAGCGCTGCTTTTTACTGGACCAAGATATTGGACCACCATAGAACATGGTGACGCTTCCTGAGGTACTTTTACGGTCATTTTTATCACTTGCCCAGTCGGCATCCAAATAGACCTTAAAGCTACTGTATTCTCCTCCGAGACCGTAACAGATCCGAAATTTTATTGTCGACTTCAAGTATCGGAAAACTGTTTTGAGTGCATATCCATGATGTTCTGCAGGATCACTCATGAAATGACTGAGTTTTCCAACTGCAAAAGCAATATCCGGCCTCGTGACAGTTGTGGCATACATAAGGCTTCCAATTGCTTGCTGGTATTCTGTAACGTCGATTCTTTTGTCATCACTTGTGGCGGGCCGTAAGTGTTCATATCCAGTGAGTGGCACTGTTTTTGGCTTGTGAGCACCTTTTCTGAATCCAAACTTTTCCAACACGTTTTGAATGTATTGTTCTTGGTCAAGATATAGGGTCCGGTTCTTTCTATCTCGCATGACCCTAGCTCCAAGTATCTTTTCTATCTCCCCCAGATTCTTGGCGCTGAATCTTGTTGATAACTTTTTATAGAACTGATCCAAATGTTTTTGAGACTTAGCCGATGCCACAATGTCATCAACATAAGCCAATAGACTTGTACCATTGTCATGAGTAAACATGCACGGATCGGCAAGGCTTTGTGTGAATCCCCATGTCAGTAACAAATCTTTGATCAGACAGTTCCAGTCTCTTGCAGCTTGTTTTAGCCCATATAAACTTCGAAGTGCTTTCCAGACGTTGCCTCTTTTAATTGAAATTCCTTTAGGTGGCTGAAGAAAAATGTCCTCTTTAAGATGAGATTCTGTAAACGCATTCTTGATATCATAATGGAAACATTCTAAGTCTTCAGCAGCAGTGACGGCAAGAAATAATCGAAGTGTGTCCATTCTTACTGTTGGAGCAAATGTTTGATTATAGTCAAGACCATGAATCTGGCTGAATCCACGCGCTACCAGTCGGGCTTTAAAACGTTCAATTGAGCCGTCGGTATGAGTCTTGATTGTGTATACCCATTTGCAGGATACAAGATTTACGTCTTTTGGTGGTATGACTTCCACAAATGTATTAATTTTTCGGAGTGACACCATTTCTTCATTCATTGCCTTTTTCCATTCTTCTGAGTAGGATGGGTCTTTCGTTGCTTCTGCAAAGCTAGAGGGAATTTTTATACCCGCAATTACCTTGGCTGGAAGTGCAGATTCTACATCTTTATCATGTAGCTGATGCAATAGTGAACTGTTCGTTAGATCATTTCTTCGACTTTGAATCAATTGTGCAATGAATACCTTGACACGTTTGGAATCTCGAAGCGACTCAGTTTCTTGCTGAGAGGTACGTTTCTGAGCGGTGGAGCGTGTAAAGTATCTGTGCCTTTGCAGTGGGAATAAATGTTTTGAGGTCGAAAAATTGTGCTCAAGATTAGTGTTAGCTAATGAGGTATCTACGTTTGAATTCTTTGTCTGAGAATTCAATGATAATGTTTCTGTTGAATGATTAGCATCAACTGGATATTCTTCCTCTAATTCATCTGAATCATTGTCCATAGCAAGTTTCTCAACATCAATTTTTTCTGCTTTGCCATCACTCATGTTTTCTTTGTCGTCTTGTGAAATTATCTCCTCGTAAGGTTGACGATTTGTATTTTGGTGTTCACAATTTCCATTTATCTCATATCTCTCATATACTTCTCCTGAATCAGAGTCCGTATCGATGTCTGTTTCTGAAGCCAAGTTATCACTTTCAGGTTCTTTTTCCAGATCCATATCAGGCGCGCTCAGATTTTCTAAGTGCTGATCGTTGATTAAGGTCTTCTCTAAGTCTTGACGAACGTTTTCACTGCTGCAAGCTGCTTTTTGGAGAGTGGGCTGAATCATTGTGGGGAGTTCACTACTGCCCACAATACTTACATGTTCTCGACTGGCATCTCCTTTATTATGAGCTGGACGTGTATCAGTGAGTGTGATGGCTTCTGAGTTAAAGTTATGCTCCTCAGTTTCTTTTGGTTTATCCTTCTCTGTACTAGCTTGAGGAAGACTCAACTTTTGTTCAATCTCCACATTTCTTGGTCTACCTCTTGGTCTTCTATCCATGGTCACATTCGGTGTTCCTTGAGGCCCGATCTTTGCATTTCGTATCTTTAGATTAACTGTTCCTCCTTTCTCGTTCTCGTTAATCACTACACGGCTTGATAAAATAGTGTATCCTCGTTCCGGTGAATAAACCTTCAAGTGTTTTGTTGTATTCTCAGAATATCCTACAAATACGCCTACTCTCGCTGGGTTAACAAGTTTATCGTGTCTTTCATGAGCAGGCAGTGTCTTTTTATCTACATAGTAGAAACATTTACTCCCCCATTTCTGTATATGATCAATTGAAGGGGTTTCACCCGTAAAGGCTTTGATTGGACTGGTTTTCATATTCGAAATTATTGGGCCAGAGTCAGTTCGGTTGCGTATGTAGCAGTCAGTTTCTGCTGCTTCATCCCAGAACTCAATTGAAAGCTGGGCTTCTTCTAGCATTGCCCTCATATCGAACTCAACAGTTTGGATCGAACGTTCTGCAGGGCCGTTCTGATGCGAAGAGGCAATAGTGGTTGATTGTGCAAGAACTCCATCTTCTATTTTCCAATCGTGGATGGCTTTGAGGAGTTCGGGTGCGTTGTCTGATCTTGCACATTTAACTTTCTTGCCCAATTGATGTTCAGTTACTGTTTTCCAGGTTTTCAATGCCTCATATGCATCACTTTTGGTCTTTATTAGAATCACCCAATTCATTCTGCTGCAAATGTCAATGATGAGGAGGAACCATCTGTTACCTCTGATACTTGTTGGGAATGGGCCAGCGACATCAAATTGAACTTGTCCCAGTATTTCATTGATCCAAGGGCTTAGGACCTTTGGGATCCTGTTTTTCATCTTAGTAAGTGCACATACCTCACAGACATCGAGATCTCGTGGAATCTTGATCTACTTTTTGAGTGTAGTAACCAGATGTAAGTTTCGAATTTTTTCAGGTCCTAAGTGAGCAAAGCGACGG